ATCAGCAGGAGACTGATAGACTGAGAGAGACCGAGCTGGTCATTTCTCGTAGGAGAGAAATAATATCATAAGGGAATGTTCTAGCACTAGGCTGTGAACAACACAGTAAGTCTGGAGCAAGATATAAGGAGGTCTTAACCTCCGTCCATTCATTGTAACTAAGTTTCCTTTATACGAGAATATAGAGTCAAGTCTTACATATCATGAGAACACACGCCACAGCGACTATAGAGACCTACTGTGAGCATAACTTCCCTAAGAGTATCCATTGTCCTGCTCCCATATAGCCTAGTTAATATAACAAAGTATGATATTATTTTGGATATATTGATTCACTATAATTGGCAATTGAAGAGATTGTAGAGTATATTAACAGTGTCTGTGCACCAGCCTGTATTTTCCACCCTTTCCTAATCCAGCAGCCCATCCTCCATTCCTCCATCTCCTAACAACTCAACCGAGCCAGCACAACACTGACACCTCATCTTCAGTTGTTTAAGAGGGAGAAACGGCTTGATGGTTCTCAAGAAAGCCTTCGAATATGGACCAGTTACAGGATGCTAATTGAAGCTTATCTGGTGCAGGAATTTCGACCTCCCAATTGTTTACTTGGCAGAGAAGTGTTCTGTGGTCTAGGCCAGCTTCCAGATCTTGTCGAATTTCGTAAAATGCGTTAACATTATTTCGGATAAAGCAGAGATCGATGGCTGCCCCGGCGTCATGAGTGGGAGATCCATCATGGTTGAGAAGTTGCAGTCCCCGGGAGGCTACCTATGATAGCAGGGTGTTGCCATCCACACTATTGGTTCGAGATTTCGGGTCCTAGGTTGAGTTATGAATGTTGACGTCCTCTGCAAGGATATTTGGAGAGCCTTTGCTATTAATTAAATAATTTAGACCTTCCCCGGAGTCAGTTGCTCCGATTGGGGCGTTGTAGACGTTCCAGCATGCGAGCGCAAGCTTATTCCTGCGCGGAATTACGACTTGTAATAGGCCTTGCGGGTGCAAAGCTGGCCGGAAGGGGGATAGCCCTTGCTCTTTGCAGACGTACGTCATCACTTGTGGCCAAATATTCCAGTTGGAAAGGGGAGAGAAACATTGGAATCTTGGGTGGGTCTTTGTTAGTCTACAAGAAAGTTCAGTACTATGTTGCCATGGTGTCAAGTTTGCAGTGGGGCTTCAGCAGGGTTTTTAGCGAGCAAAATAACACTCTTTAGGCATAGTCACCATCCATTTTGGGGCTAGCCCCTGTTTTTGTGCAAATTTTCGAAAAAGTTGGTGTGGCATTTTTTTTCTGGACACCATAGTTTGCAGTGGTCCTTTCCTTCGTACTTAACCTAATTGGTATAATGATTGGCTGCCTAAGATTTGTGCATTTTTGCTACTTGACATTACAACTTATTTACAAGAGTTCAAAGGTTTTCGAATTACAAATTAGAGCCACAGTCTTATCCTAACCTTGGATCTGAACATGTGGCTGGAATATTTTCAGGCCTTAATATCTGGTTGGTCCCCAATCTCCATCTATCACAGCCTAAAATCTTGATGGTATACTCTGAATGAGTCTCACAAGGTCTTTGAAAGACACGGAATCTGTTGGAAATCTAGACTTTGCATATATGAAGGTTTTGATTTTGAAGTATGATCATCAAGATCAATTGAGTTGATTCAATTGATTATGATTAAGCTCATTTAGGCAAAATAAGTTTCAGTGGCTAGAAAATGCTATCTTGTTGATAATTAAGTGGCTGGTTGTTGATAGATCACTGGGAGTTCGGGATCACTAAAGCCTCGGGGATCTGTGTTTAAGGATAGACTCATCTGTATGTAAAACTAAGTTAACGGAGTATTATATATTATTAATTCATATTGAGAAGAGAGTTCAATATCATATACAACTATCAATAAATTTTTGTCCGAAATTGTACACTTGTTCTTCGAGATATTCCCTCCTAGAAATCCTTGAAAATTTCAAACAAAATCCCATGCCTCCTTTAGGATATTGCGAAGACTATCTGCAGCTCGCTGCTTTCCGCCACCCATATTCGGATGATGACACTGGATGCAATCATTCATCCTATTCCAAACAGCTTCCATTGGGTTAAGATCAGGCAAGTTGGCCGGCCAGAAAATCGGTTGAATGAGCCTCTGATTCATATCTTCCATGGTACATGCTGCTGCGTGAGCAGGAGCATTATCCTACATTACGAAAATACAAGGTCTCATCGAGACTATGCCATCAATATTAGGAACTATTTTTTCGCAATGTTTTTGGGAGTTTTTATATCCCCACTCCTTCTCCCAAAATAAAAAGAGGCCTTTTTCTGGCCCTGCAAAGCAACCCCAGAACATCCAGCCGACCCTTTTCGATTTTTTCTCTAACACAATCAGTGTTGTATTCTTGGGAAGTCTAGTTCGTAATATTAGAGCATCAAATTACTATTTTATTAAAGGGGAAATACGAACATGGCCCTTGTAACCAATACTCTAGAATTTCTTCCATCCTCTACCCAGGTTTTGTCCGTTCCTAAAACTGGTGTCCAGTCTTCATGTGTCCAATTAAGATGAGTTTCGGGCCATTCTCCGGGTGTCTCCATAGTATTTTGAGTTACTGGAGGCTTTAGACAAGCCACATGTTGTTGATATCATCTTTTTTTAAGTTCTCTTTGTAATACTCGCTCGCTAGCACCAAGGTGTCCAAAGGATCCAGAGGCGGGTTCTGAAAATGTTTTGCAGCAGATTTCAGGTGAAGACTCAACGTAAGATATAATCTGATTGATATCATCTTCTTTCAGTCTTGAGGATGTTATTTTTCTCTTTTTGGTGGAGACAGTTATGCGACGCAGTGAATAATTAACTTGTCCCTGATAAGTACCTAGTTGCGCAGAAACATGCGTCTGATTCTTGCCAGATTCATGGAGCCCATATATTTCAAAAAAATTTGATTTCAATTTGTTCATTCTTAATTTTTAGACTTACTAAAATTTTTTGATCCCTGGATAATTGTTTGATTCGAGGTGTTGAATGTGGAGTTTGAGGTGGATTCAATTGCAAAATAAGGTTAGTATTGAGTAAAGCCATGTGTCTTCCGGAATAAATAATTTTGTATTTAAAAAATCTCTTTCCTATTGTCACTGAAGCACAAGATGAGGAGAGCTGTATAATTTTTTTAGCGGTCGGCAGTCACCAAAGTGATGGCAAAGAACTAGAGAGCAGGTTGGATTTGCATAAAACTAGAGGGACATGAAAACAAATTGTGCCCTTGACTTGGGCCTGGAAATCCAGTACAAGGATTGTATAACCTTCCTAAATGAGCGCTAACAGGGCTACAGCCCCTGAAGCGAATATGCGCCCCATTTAAATCCACTGAAAACTTGAAATTGTGGTACCATAGTAGAAACCCAAGGTTCTTGAATTAGTATCACATTAGCCCCACATTTTGAGGTCAGTTCTCGGTATTGTGCTCAGCCATATTTGATGCAAAACATGACTATGACGCTTGGGTAGCAAGGTTATTGTTAGATGAGGCGCAAGGCTGGACGGGTCACATTAAGTGGTGTGGTGGGTTTGCTTGGCTGAGATAGATAGCATAAGAAAGTTTAGCAGGCTTTGTGATTGGTCAGTAAACGAGCTAAAAGGATATAAAACCATAGACATTTCAACTGTAAATAATGAATCAAGCACATTCACATCTATTCATCACTCTCACACTTCCACTTCCAATATTGCAGCAGTCATTGCAATTGTTCGTTCCCCATTACATAGGCCAAGTAAAACACTAGGGCGGTGTTGTGAGCAGAGGCACGTCTACCAACATTGATCCAGAAGAATTAGGGGCCTGAGATTTTCTGCTTTCTTTGGTTCCTGTTTCGGCACCTCATAATGACTCCTCAAGGGAGAACAGGATAGTAAACTTAGATGCCCAGCCTATTGTTAGAACAGGAGCTGGAATTGTGGTGAACGAAGGCTGCGTGGAAGGAGACCCAGCGGGGGGTTCTGGAGCGGGCCGGGGAGTGTTGAGAGCCAACCACGGCTTGTGTCCTTTCTGGCACACAACCCGCATTCTCTCCTTGTCTCAGCAAATAAATTCTCTGTTAGCTCGGAAGGGTCTTGTGGGGCATCCAGTGGAAGAGACCATGTGCGAGCCAGCACAATTAAGACAATTTATCGGTGTCATACATGGGCCGTTGTGTGAGCCTGACTCACATAGTCCGCAACGAGCTCTCCTGGTACAAGTATTGATGCTGTGGAATCCATGGCAGCGCTGATAGACTTGGAGGCGTGGGCAATTGTCAGCCAGTCGAATTTGGCGGAACGAGCAAATAAGCGGACTCTGGAGGGGAGTTTATCTGCAGCTTGCTTTTCAACTACTAGTCGGAGAGTACCTTCCCATTCTGGTGATGCCAGAGAGTTACGCGTTCAGGTGATGGAAAGAATTGCTTTTGTATTGATTTTTGCTGCTGCAAGTTGTTCCCAAATGTCTGCAACGGAAAGGGCTGTGGGAGATCCGGAAGCATTGTACCCATATTTGGGGACTGGGCTAATGAGAAAGTCCTCTCATTTTTTCTGTCTTTCGATAGGCACGCCTCCTGTAGCGGGCTATAGTGCAAGGGCTGCTTGTATGAGTTCGGGGGCTTGCTCGGATGAGACGGCCACAAGGGCTATCTCAGAAGGGACCGATCTGATGTCCTTGATTAGTTGCGGTTTTTGGAGAAAGATTCTCAGCTTTATACAGACCAAAAGAGAACCTTGGAATCTCAGTGGGTGGTCAGGCGCTAGTGTTAAGGTTATGAGTCATATGGGAACATAGTTACTTGTCACTTATTATGTCTGATTGGAGTATGTAGAGGATGTGTTCAACAGATTTCGATACGGTCAGAAGTATCAATATATGCTATCTTATATACATCTGTATGACCCATGTCATAGTCTTAGTTCCATCTCGTCATTTACTATCTATAGTAATCACATTACCAATCCAACGCTCATGAATCCACGGTTCATGAGCGGCCATCGCTGCCCCTGCGGCTCTCGTATATCCTCCGCTTGCCAGTCGCATCACTGCTCCTATAATCGCAGCTCAGTACCCTAGTTGAGCGCCCCTGAAAAGCTGATCCAGGGGCGACCGAACTGGTTTCCATTAGTGACACTCGAGATACACCTGTACACTCGATGCTGTTGCATATACGCTGAGTGGTACCCGACCCCTTGCGGCTAGCACTTATATTCCAGGGGCTTATGGTGTCGCTACCCCACCGCTTCTGTTGAAATCTAGACATGCCAGACCGAACTGCACGCAGTGCGGAGTAGGCGAAGACTACTCATCTTCGATTGCTACCAGCTTTGGTGAGGTCTCGGTTGGTGATGATCTCGGTGGTGTGAATGTTATTCCATCACGTAATCAGAACACAATGTTTCTACCTAAGCAAGGTAGAACATAGTGTTATGAATTTGTTATATTTAGTCTGGATGTGGTGATGTAGGGGTTATCTTCTTAATACGGTTAGGTCTGAGGCTACGGGATTTGGATTTGTTCAGGCTGGAAATTTGGATTTGTTCTCTAGCTCTAACAATTTTGTTACTTTTACGTTTATTGTATAATTTGCTTATTGGGAATTCGATATTTTGATAATATGATAATCTGAACATATGAATTCGTAACTTTGATAATCTGAGCCTTGATTACCTTCATTCGCACCTTCGACCTTCGACCTTCGTAACTTTGTAACCTCGAACCTTTGATAATTTGTCTTCGTCGAAATCGACTCGACCTCTGCAGCTTAACAGCTTCGAAAATCTGCCAATAAGTAGATTCATAACACATAGATAGACAATTAGATGTAGATTAAAAAACACGAACACCTTTTAATTACCGAAATATAAGTTCAGTAAAACCAAAACCTCACTGATCCTAACCTTTTATCTCTGATCCTTAGATCCCCGATATCTTACAATTCGTACAGTATTGACTTGACGGTCAACGTTCACTTCTATCATTCCAGATACCCCCTAGAACTTTAGTAGGTTTTTAGCCCGATGCCCTGAACGGATAATACTCGACAATTAATGAGAATTGGATTTTTTTTTTAACTTACAAATCCTATCCTCTTTAAGTTCGACTCAGATTTCCATCCTACCACAATGGCCTCAATGACTGATAAAAAGTTTTCTTCAGATTTCTTTACATCCTTGGTTCCAGATGATAAGCCACTGGGTATCAAGAAATTTGGAAACATTAGACCATTAACTGGTCAAGAAAATTACAACATTTGGTCATCAACAATGTGCCATTTCTGGCGAGGTATGAATCTCTTCGAACTTGTTGTGGAAGGAGTGATGCCAGCAAAGGATGCCGAAGAAAAAGAGAGGACAGCTTTTCAGACTCTTTCCCATCAAGCAATTGCAATCCTCTTGACTGTAGTATCATCCGAAATTTTGGAGAAAATTGTCAAACTTGATGACCCGCACTCAATGTGGATGCACTTGAAGGATGAGTTCTACAGGGATTCCCCTAAAGCACTTGTCGCCCAGCTAACGAATTTGACACTACTCTCCACCACCTACGACTCATCCATACCTGTTTCAAATTTTATCCAGCAATTTGAAACAGAATGGCTACGACTCCAAAAATTGACAAAATCTTCTTCTGATGCCTATCGCCAATCGTTTGCAGCCTTCCTCAATCATGACAAGGCAAAACGTGACTTTCTTCTTTGTTACCTCTCTAAACACCACGAAAATGTTGTCAACAACCTTTAAACAAAGGATGATCTGACATTTTCAGATGTGAAACTTCGGCTCTTGGGGCTTGATCAAGGACTACCCTCCACTCAGACTGCTTTCTTTACATCTGACAACAGCAGTAAAAGGGTCCCATTCATCAAAACCCCAACAGCACCACAATCAAAAACCAAAGAATGTACCTGGTGTAAGAAACATTACCCATCACACTACACCAGTCACTTATGGAATGATTGTTTCAAATTGAAGAATCACAAGGGGAAGGAAAAGAAGAAGACAACAAGTGCTCGAGAAGAAGCTCACGCTTCAGTTACAGAAGAAAATACGGTTAGGCTACACCCATTCTACCTTGATACTTGCGCAACTTCTCACATGTGTCCTTATCCAGAACGTTTCGAGAATATTACGATTTGTACCGGACATGTAATATCAAGCTCTGGTCAAAATATACCTGTTCATGGAAAGGGCACAGTGGTAATAAATTGCGAGTTATCTGATGGGTCTGTTTCTCCTTGCCGTCTTTCTGACGTCCTGTTTGTTCCGAAATTGAGTCGTCCTTTATTTTCATGGAGACAAGTGAGATCTAAAGGTTATAAATTAATTGATAATGGAAAAATAATGCAAATTTCAAAGGGTGAAAAAGTGTGGCTGGAAGCTAAATTTGACGGCTCTTTACCTCACATACCAGAAGTCACTGACTTTGCTTGTTTAACATACGAATTTTGGCATGAAGCTCTCTGTCATTCTGCACCATCATCCATTGAGAAGACAGAGAGGCTCATCCAAGGTGACAATGTGATACCAAATCGGCCCAAAGATTTTTTCTGTCAAGCTTGCGCAATGTCCAAATCGATACATACTACTACGAAAGCTACTTCTAGTCGAGCAAAGAATAAAGGGGAATACATACACTCTGACCTCTGTGGCCCCTTCCCAATTTTATCCTATGGTAATTCCCATTATTATATCAGCTTCGTAGATGATGCCACTCGCTATTCAACTGTTTGCCTTCTCAAAACAAAGTCGGAAGCTACTCAAGCTGTCATTGACTACATTTTAAACTTGGAGAAACAATATGATTGTAATGTGAAGCATTTCAGAACTGACAATGGTGGTGAATACTTGAAGGACCAACTTACAAAATTCTTTGCTCAGAAGGGGATAGAGCTTGACCTAACCCCCCCCTATTCCCCTGAGTCTAACGGAGTTGCTGAACGTCTGAATCGATCTATAGGCGAAGGAATATGCGCAATGCTTTCTAACATTAAAAACAAACGGCTATGGGCCGAAGCAGTTAAAACTTATGTTTATGTCAAAAACCGTCAGTCTCACAGCGCTGTTAATGGGCAGACGCCTTATGAAGCTTTTCACGGGGTTAAACCCTCCATTTCGCACCTCCAGCCCTTTGGACGAGAATGTTTTGTTCACATCCACAAGGCTAAACGCCCTGCTGGAAGCAAACTTCTCCCAAGAGCTGAGAAGGGCATATTTGTCGGATACACAAAAGTTAACCACCACTACCGTATCTTCATCCCCGAAAAAAATCAAGTTGCGGTTTCAGCTGATGTTAAATTTTCGAACCTTCTAACAGAAAAAACATAAACTGAACCAGTACTTGTAGAATTAAGACTTTCAGGAACTGAATCTACCTTTCAACCTTCCATCAAGAAGGATAAAGCTTGGATCAACCCGAAACAAAATGGATCTGAAGAACGCAACTATCTTCTGCCATCAGACGCCAAACATACTGCCGAAATTCAACCAAACCAACCTCCATCTGATCAAATAGGTCCACAACCTAACCCTTCACAAGAATCAACATCTTTAACTAGACCCAGAAATTTCCGAGGCTTTCACAAGAAAATGCAACTATTACAACTTGCTCCGGACGTCAAGTACAACCTCGGGCACTCAACAATATGATATTAGGGGACTGGTGGAAAGCGAAAGCTAGATCCACGAACCAACTTGTTGAACCTCAAGACTTGTCTGACTATCTTCAACCAGGTGAAGCAATTATTAGCATATTAGAAGTTACTGAACCAAAATCTTATGGAGAAGCTACAAGATCTCACCACTGGGATAATTGGAAGAAAGCTATTGATGATGAAATTTCCTCGCTTCAAGAAAATAACGTCTGGGATCTAGTTCCAAGACCAAAGGGAAGAAAAGTTGTTGGTGGTAAATGGGTTTGTTAAGTGAAGGGGAATGCTCAAGGAGAGCTCGAACGTTTCAAGGCAAGGTATGTTGCCAAAGGATTTTCCCAAACTTATGGACCCGATTACGACGAAACCTTTGCTCCTGTTGTTTGTTACGACTTTCTGCGACTTCTATTGGCTATTTCGGCTTGTAAAGGCTGGAAACCACGGCAGCTTGATATAAAAACGGCATTTCTATATGGCATCTTGAACGAAGAGATTTATATGGAACTTCCTGAAGGGTACAGGATAGAAAACCATGTTGCACGGTTAAACCGATGTATTTACGGCTTGAAGCAATCACCACGGGAATGGTATTTTAGGTTGGTCAAATACCTTCAACCTTTTGGTCTTGCTTCTACCCTATTTGATCCCTGTGTTCTTATCCACAGCTCAGGTGACTTGATTATTGCAATTTATGTGGACGATATAATTCTCTTTGGAGAACAAGGTAATTTGATGGAAAGCACAGTCAACAAGCTTAAATCAGAGTTTCATGTTAATGATATGGGACTTCTTAATTGGCTCCTTGGAATTCAAATTGAATATAATAATGCAGGTATCACTCTTTCTCAATCTTCATACCTTGAGAGAGTCCTCACACAATTTTCTATGCAAGATTGCAACCCAGTGACCACTTATATTGAGCAAAACCACCAGCTTATGGCTACAACTGGCAACACTAGGGTCAATGCTACTCTGTATCAGCAAATCATTGGATCTATCATGTATTTAGTCACTGGGACTAGACCTGACCTTGCATACACAATAACACACCTCTCACAATTTAGTTCGAATCCCTCTACTTCTCATTATAATGCAGCAAAGCGCGTTTTACGATATCTTAAAGGAACAAAGGATCAAAAGCTTCTCTATAGGTTTGATTCTAACTTGGTACTTAATGGATTTTGTGACGCATCGTACGGAAATTGTCTTGACACTCGAAGAAGCTTTTCTGGATATATTTTTCAACTTGGTAGCTCTACTATCTGCTGGCGCTCTCGCAAACAAAGTACTGTCGCTCACTCCACTTGCAAAGCTGAGTATATGGCGCTAACTCTTGCGACTAAACACTTCATCTGGCTTTTACGTGGACTACATCAACTTGTTATTGAAAATATTCCTGCAGCTCTATCAACCGATAACAATGCCGCTATTGATCTCGCTCATAATCCAAAGCTAAACGACGCTTCTAAACACATTGATATTGCCTACCATTTTACGAGAGAGAAGATAGAAGATGGCTCACTTACGCTACTACATGTTGCATCAGAAAATAATCTCGCTGACATATGTACGAAAGGAGTTCCTGGACCGAGACTCAAACACTTATGTACCTG